AATTTAAAATTACAACTAATTAGTATTTGGGGTGAAAGTAATTAGTCTTTTAATGTCATAAATTGATTTTTGTTGTAAATATGCCTGACAAGATTGTTACACTGAATTACATTTTAGTGGGTGTCTTCTGTAAATCAGGGGAAAATGTATGATATTTATTGGGAAAAACAACAACAATTTAAAGCAGTATTACACTTATTGTTTTTATGCTTAAACCCTTTTTCGTCTTTGACCCAACTACAACATGATTCAAGTAACTTTTTCGTTATTAACCCTCTATTTAAAGAAAATTCTATTCCAAGTGCACCACCCATGAAGTTGTCAACATGATGTAAATGTTAAACAAATCACTTGTTAAATATCTTTGCAGAAAAGATGCATGAACTACAAATACATATTGTACAAACGTGTCTTATGCATATTATATGTTCAGAAAATCAAGGAAATTCAAATTCAGAATGACTGAAGGTATAACACAAGTACACTATCATTAACTATAGATGTTCTGTAAAAACAACTGCAGCTTTCAGCCTGTCACCATGATGCAAACATGAAATAGCAGACGTACAGTAGCAGTCACAGGTTTTTTTTATTCGCCTATGCTACTTTTCCATTGTTTTTTTATGTGTAAACATGGACACGTCTGACTGTTGAGCTCGTGTCTCTTGCAGTGTCTCATGCATGAAACGGCATTCTAAAAATGCGGCGCTCAAGTTAAAAGAAGTTCACTCCCATCTTATTGCATGTTTTTCCTATTCCACTGCCCGCGTCGCATCTTTGTCAACACAAAAGCGCATTCTGTGTGATACGAGCGCATCACACGTGATCAGTTAGTCACGTGCACCGACATGCGGTTCGATCGTTCTTTTCTCTTTACTGTTATCATTGGCATAGTCAAAGTGTCTAATTCTAACGTTTGGCAATATTTCTATTCAAAATCGCGATTCCTCGATTTCTAAAAAATATAATCGTGGCAAAATTCATTATCGAATGAATCGATAAAATCTGAAAAATCGCCCAGCCCTAGTTCAAGGCCCAGAAAGGTAGTAAGAACATCATTAAAATAGTCCATGTGACGTCAGTGGTTCAACCGTAATTTTTTGAAGCCATGAAAAGACGTTTTGTGCGCGAAGAAACAAAAATAACGACTTTATTCAACAATTTGTCGTCTCCTTGTTATTTTTGTTTTCTCTTGCGCACAAAAAGTATTTCTGTGGCTTCAAAAAATTACGGTTGAACCACTGATGTCACATGGATTTTTTTTTTTTTTTTTACGTTTTCCTTCCTGGTTTTTGGTTGTTACGTGACGTATGCACATGCTTTGATCTGAATGCTCTTCTGTGTCAGCAGAACCACATGCTTACATTGTTATTTTTGTTTTGTTTGCGCACAAAATTTATTCTCGTGGCTTCAAAAAATTACGGTTGAACCACTGATGTCACATGGATTTTTTTTTTTTTTTTTACGATTTCCTTACTGTGTTTCTGGATGTTAATTGTGGTAGTTCCCTTGCTGTCTATAGAGGGTCAGAACGCTCTCGGATTTCATCAAAAATATCTTAATTTGTGTTCCGAAGATGAACGAATGTCTTGCAGGTTTGGAACGACATGAGGATGAGTAATTAATGACAGAATTTTCATATTTGGGTGGTCTATCCCTTTAATGCTCCGTTTTTAATTGATGCTGTTCGTCACACAGATCTGAATGGCGAAATGAATGTGAACGGCATCACTACTGCAGGTGGGAGCGGCCAGCCAGGCACCCTCCCTCCCTCTTCCTCTTATCCTCATATGAGCAGCCATCTCCTCCCAGGCAGCATGGGGTTTGACTATCTGTGGGGCCAGTCTCAGTACAACCCAGCGATGGGGCCCGTCCCGCCCCACGGGTTGCTCCAGAAACCTGGCTCCCAGGGTGGGATACAACCACAGCAGCCTCAGCTCCACTTCCAGGGCCATGGACCGTACCAAGTCAACGGAAGTATGGGACCGTCCCGGCAATCTCCGGGCGCTGGGCTGCAGTATTGGGGAAGGGGAAATCCTGGGCAGCCGCAGGGGGGATCTTCGATGCCCATGGGATATAACTCTCAAAGCATGTATGGGACATTTCCCAGCCAGGGGATCCCAGCGTCCCAGCATCACCAGCAGCCTCCGGCCTTGCAGCACCAGTCTGCAACGGCGCATCATCTCCAACACCATTCACACCACCACCCGCCTCAACACCAGCAGCAGCAACAGCAGCAGCAGCAGCATTATGGTGTGATGCCTAATGGAATGCCGTATTACCAGCATCCATCGCACCAGTCCCAACCGCAGGCCCCAACTCAGTCTCAAGCACCGACTCAGATGATACCACCTGCCGCGCAGAGCTTTACGCCTCCACGAGGAAGCCCTCAGCACCATCACATGGCCAGTGGAGGAGGCAGAAGCAGTCCCCATCACGTGCCGGTCCCAATGAGGTCCCCTTCTGCTGTGCCTGATAGCGGTTCGCCTAAGAGCAGAGAGATGCAAGGTGAGCAACTGCCACAAACAGGCCTCAGAGTGTTGGAAACAGGGTTGTTACGGTTTAGATTTTTTATGTAGTTTTTAATTTGTAATTTCAGTTTAGGTTTTATTTTTAATAATCTCATTTGTTTTAATTTATTATTTATTTATTTTTTGCATTAGTTAGTATTGTAGGGCTGACAGTTAAAGTGCTATATATTTAACAACATCAGATTTCTCAGCGCAGTCTAGTGTTGTTACTGTTAGGGCTGCACAATTAATTGAATTTCTAATCGTTATTACAATTGTGGATGCCACAATTTCGTAATCATTCAAAGGTGCAATTAAAAAAAAAGTGATAAGGTCCACTTGCATTATTCGGTGTGGTTAAGATGCGTTTAAGGCTTAATGCTATAGAAAGGCGTTAAAAGTTTTTCAGTAAGAGTGTTTTCAGCTTGTTTATTTTCATATAAAAATATGGAATGCAGTTGCTTCAAACAATGGTATAAAGCTTCTCAAAACATCATTCAATGTAAATTGTGATAATTGTAATTAATAATTGCAATTACAATTTAAAGGGAATAATCGACAGGTATGATTTGTCACAATCGTGCAGCACTAATTTCTAATGAGTAGCATTTTCATGTTTAATAGAGGAAATAAAAACAAACAATGAATTTGATATTATTTTAGTTAGTTTTAGAATCTTGAAACTGTGTTTTAATTTTTAATTTTCCCATTAAAACGGTATGTCCGCTATGTAACGTCCCTCTAGCATTTAATAAATAAAACACTGTTTTGGTTGTACTTTGGCTCTTACTGTAGTGATTTAGGCTAAGGCAAAAACACAGTTTGAATGGTGGATTTATCATGTATTCATGTAATTTTTAATTAAACAAAAAACAAAATTACATTATTTCTTTATCAGTTTTTTTTTGTTAACTATAAAACTGTGGTATTAAGTGGTGGCACTCCTGCCCAATTCTCACTTTTTTCCCATCTTAAATTAAGCCTTAGTAAAGATCTATGCATACTACTGTGCTGTCTTAAATTAATAAAACATTTTGGTATGTTGCACATGTGACCAGCTGCATAGTCAGTTTGTTTTATGAGGTCTATAGCATTTCAAAACAAGATTGTCGCACTTGTTTGCAGATAGCTTTGTGGAAACAATATATAATCTTTGGCATTCATACTGTAAGTAATATGATTACAAGAATGGCAGCGTGTTTTATCATGCATGTTCTGATTTCCTGTACTTAGGTGGAGCCATGCACTTCCTGAATGGCTTTTAATATCACCAACGCTAGTATTCTGTGCTCTGACAAAAGTAACTTTAGGCCAGTTAGACGTGTTTTCACCAATGGTAGCTGACTTTTTGGATTAGGAAGTGATTCAAACTGAAAAATAGTCCGTAAACGGGTGATATCTTGCCACAGTTCTCTTTTCCACCCACATTCTCCCTCATTCATCAGACAATGGAAAACTGCACGCAGCCTAGATGCAATAAAACAATCAACAATACTGTGCTTTTCATTGAAGATCAAAATGCATTGTCTGTGTCTTAATTTTTTTTGCTCTGATTTGACCTTGTTCACACTGTATTCAAATTGCTCAGAGGAGCACGAGACAACAACCATCAGAGGCTTTACTGTAGTTTCCACATTGATGCATATGTTGATTTTTGGCCTGTACACTCATTTATTATACACAGCTTATATTTCATTACATATATGGTGAGTGTAAAGGAGTGAATTTAGTGCACATGCTATTGCGCAACCCAAGTCGGGTTTGAACTCTAGTTCCCTGCACATTAACAGTATTGTGCACTACATTCCAGGCCACATCTCTGACCTAAAAATCCATTTGATTTTTGCTACCAGTCTCAACAGTTTTATGTTCTCACATGTCTTACTAACAGCTGTTGTGTGTGTTTTTTTTTTTTTGTGGTCTGTAGTTCCTATGAATGAGTCCTTCAAAGAAATGGATAAAGGCTTCAATGGAGTGGAGAAAAGCTCTGTACCCCAACGTTTGCCCAAAACTGAGAGTTTTCCTGTAAAGCCCGCTGGCCCTGTTTCCCCTACCGACTATAACCAAGGTGCGCAGCATCCAATCGTGGACTTGGAGAAACCAGTAAAACAACGTCAGGAGATGGGAGCTGCCGCAAAAGAGCTTAGTTCTTCCCCCGTCTCTGGACCTCCTCCACCACTAGCTAGTCCGCCTCAGAAAACGGTCTCTGGGCTGGATTCACATTCTCCTTCACCTTCAGGATTTGCTTTATCTACAGCTTTGGGTGTCGGCGCAAATGTGTCCATGTCTCCTCCATCTCCGCTTCAGACAGTCCAAGGCCAAAGACCTGGATTCTCTGGACCTTCATCAGCTGAAGGAACACCTGCAGGACTTGGTACACCTCCTTCAATGTCTTCTCCTAAGAGCTCCAGAGCTCCACCTGTTGTTTCCCACAACCAGCCTGTGGTGTTTTCTTCAAAGACCTTGATGCATCCTCCAACGGTGCCTGCTGCACAGCCTCTGGCGGAGGCCCAGGGGTCAAAAAGTCCACAGGTCTCTCCAACACCTCTATCTTTAGCTGCATCTCCATCTGTTGTCTCCGCTCCTCCTGCGTTGGCACCGCTTAAAGGACCCCAAGAGGCATCACCTCTAACAGGTCAGAGTCCTAAACATCCTGCTGCTTCCTCAACTCCAACATCTGTTGCCGATAACGTCTCTCTCCCGACAGTCTCTGCACTTCCGTCTGTGGTCGCTGGTTCTCCTCAAGTTGCCGCTTTGGCTTCATCTGCACCACCTCCTGTTGTTAGCTATTCTTCTCAGGCATCTTCAGCAAGTCTCAATGTTTCTGCTGCTCCAAATGTATCTCGTTCCTTCATTGGTTCTGCAGCTCAACATTCAGATATGATGGCAAATGTAGATGTTTCTTCTCACAGTCCAGGGCAGATGAGTTCTCATGGTGTATTACGGCACAACTTTGGGGAATCACACTCTAGTCTGAGTCATGATAAACATGAGGCCTGTGGTTCCCAGAGTAAAGTTGGAAACTTGAGCACATCCAACAAAATGGGCACATCCAACAATGAGACTCAAGCTGAGATGCATAAGGTGCAAAGTCATAGTCGAAACCTTGAACCAGCTTTCATTGTTCCAAAGGAGCCTGAAAGAGACACTACGGCCACTGGCAGAAAGGACTCTAATGGTATCAGAGATCAGGCTGCCCCGAGGAAAGGAGAAAGTGAGACTTTAAATGATTCTTTTAGCACTGACACGTCACTGGACTATCCGTCCTTGGCCGAGTCAACCTACCTTGAAAGCTCAAGAGCTGAGGATGGGAGTTCAATGATGGACACTTTTGATAATTCTTATAGTCTTTCCCAGACTGGAGACCAATCAAAGTTTACAGAAGAATCCATGATTGATGTCTCCAGGGACTTGCAGGACACTTCTTGTGAAGAAGAAAACTTGAACAGCTCCATGACCTCTACCAGTTCCACCGAGGAGGCGTCCCTCAAAGATACCACGTCTCTACTGGATGACTCTTTAAACGACACGTCACAAAACTGCTCCTCCCTGCTTTCTGCATCGATTAATGCCTCTACACACTCTATCAAAGGTGAGATTTCCAATGCACTAATATTGAACTAATAATGGATTAATAAAAAAGTGAATCTGTTCATTTGCTGAAGATTACAGTTAATAGTGTTGTTAAATTATTAGTGTTTTTATTGATTAGTTTTAACCCTCCAAGCCTCTTCATTTTTGGGTCACTCTTGGTACCTTGCTGGTCAAAAGTGACCAAATTTTTGTTCTATAATATTTTTTCTTTTTGTATTTTGAAAGAATTTTATGGTACCAATTAATGCTTATGCAATAATAATTATCCATTTTTTTCCCAATTGAATTTTTTTTTTAATACTGTATTTTAGGTTAAAATAGAGACTAGCTGTGCTCTTTTTCTCTGCATCATGGCAGATTGTGTACACAAATAGTTTTCTGTATTTTCCCATTTCCCAATCATTTCCTATGGTGGTCATTTCTTACAGCGAAGACCACAAGCGTGACTCTTTTTTTTTTTTTGAATGCCCATTTAGCCTTTTTGAATCGTGCCCTCAAATTGCGTTCACATACCAAATGCCATTAAAGTTACCAAGTTTTGTACCGTTCTGATGAAGCTATCCCCAAACGTGACTCTTTTTTTTTTTTTTTAATGCCCATTTAGCCTTTTTGAATCGTGCCCTCAAATTGCGTTCACATACCAAATGCCATTAAAGTTACCAAGTTTTGTACCGTTCTGATGAAGCTATGATTTTTAATATTTCGAAATGTAAAATCTTTTGGTCAGAAGTGACCTGAAGATGCCTAGAGAGAGCCGTCGATGACAGTAAAGGTAATGGGCATGTACCAAATGCATATCCAATATCAACCGACTAGATAAAAAAAAAAAATCACTGATATTGGCCGGTAACCAATATGGTCCCAAAGTATTATACATCCTTATATTTGTCTAGGGATGTATAATATATTGGTATAATAAATATAATGTGTAATTTTAGCACTTTATTCAGGTGTATTTGAACACTAAAGTTTCAGATGGTGGTCTGAATGCTTGGCAGATGTATTGTTGACATCTTTTGATGTCTTGTTTAAATAAAATACATTTTATTCCCCACAGGTGATCATATTCTTGGCAAAGAGAATGGAGCTGATACTTCAGGAGGTGACAGAAGATCTGCGCTCTCTGTAATGACGGTTAAAGCGCTGCAAGCGGTCGTAAGCGGTTCTGTTGAAGGGGCGACCACACATATGTCTGAAGCCCACATCGCCATGCCAACAAAAAAGCCACGGAAGCCTAGAACCCCAAAGACGACAGTTGCTACCGCTGAGAGTAAATGCATTGCTCAATTTTACGATCATGCTTGCATAGCTAATGGTTTACAGATTTATTTTTAAAGATAGTCATTGTCTCTAATGAGTCAGATGGACAAAATTAGGTTAATGCTGTCTTAATTAACTTAATTGTTTCCAGTTGGCTCTCCTGATTCCAAGATCAAGAAGCGAAAGATAACACCTGACGGCCCAAAACAAGAAAAGGTTAGGAGGAGAAAGAAAACTGACGATAATTCAACGACTGCAGTGAAGAAGAGGAAAATCTCTAAAGAGGCAAAAGAACAGGACGGCGTCCCAACTGATACCTCAGCTCCTTCAAATGCTCAGCCTCACCTTTTAATTGATCCAATGACCTTCGTCCGTGACTTAAGCCTGACCAATAGTGAGAGCCCCATAGTCCGGCCCAAGAAGATCTGGAAGCGCAAGATGAAAGAAGGCGTGAACGAGGCAAAGCCTCCCAAACCAGCCAAAGAGTTCTCCGAAGGAAAAACTGAAGAAGATGACGATGATAACGGCTCCGCAGCAGGTACCTACATGTTTGAAATTTGCTCTTTGTTCTTAAGTAGTGTTCAGTCTCTTTTATTTGCATACTTCTGGCACCTAAGGTTAAAGTAGATTAAACTGTTGTTTGTGTGTCACAGGTGATACCCCAAGGCGTCGGGTTGCAACTGAAGAGCAAGTCCAATTTCCTTTGCAGCATGGGTGAGCAGTCCTTTATCTAAAGTATCGATAGCCAGGTCAAGATGCTTCACTTGTCCCAAGGAGCCCATGTGCTCCTAATTTGAAAAAAGAACTTTAGGGGTGCAATGAAAATTGATCAAATAAAAAAAATTGTTTTTACTTATTAAATTATACATGTATTTATTTTATTAATGTATTTGAATACAAGAAGTACACTAGATTGTAAGCTTTTCTGCTTCATACTGTATTTATTAAATAATTATGGAATAATTTACATTTTAAACATTGAATTAAATGCCAGATATTGTTTGTGTAACAAAAAAAAGCAATAATAACCAGAAACAAAAATGTTGGAATGTCGCCAAATAATTATAAACAAGCCCAAAATACACCAGGGGCGCGTTCTTCGTACGTCGCTTATTACATCCGAGATGAAAAGTCACATCCAAGACGATATCATCGCGTTAATCAGGATCTGGCTAATTCGGTTCTTTGAACGCAGCTGTTGTTGATGATTAGTCTGGCTGGATTGAGTTATCGGAGATAATTGCGCGTTCATGTGTTGGTTTAAAAGGGGCTATGTATCGATACTCGAAACCACGATCAGCAATGCAGCGATTGGCTGGCGGCAAGACAGCAATGTTATGACATCATATAATTAAAAAAGACACCTCGCGAAAAACTTGACAAATTTCTGGACTTTTATAAGGAAGCAGCCAAGCGAACGAAACTACATACATGTTATAATGTTATATACATACATACATGTTACTGCTCCGGGTGTGTGTTCACGGTGTGTGTGTGTTCACTGCTGTGTGTGTGCACTTTGGATGGGATAAATGCAGGGTCACCATACTTGGCCACATGTCACGTCACTTTAATAAATAAATGAAATGTGCACTGTTTTTATTTTTTACATGATTCCCAGTTATTTAGATTCACGATTTCTAATATTTGTACAGGCTTTACATTTTTATTTCAATGTAGTAATTAACAATTCATAAAATGTTAGATTTGAACAGATTTGTTACGTGACGGCATTAAAGTGTCTTAAGGGTCAAGATCACGTTATCTGCATCTCCTGCGCTCCACCAAGCCACTCCCATAATATCTGTCACCTCTCAAATTAATGCACGACTCTACATTATCTGTACAGCATGTGTGTAAGACTCCAATACAATTATGAAGTAATCGTTTTATGACGAATAAATCTTTCAGTGAGTAAAACTGGCTGTGTCTATAGTATTAAAGACTACACAACATTAGTACCCTACTGATCCAGGGACAATAATTTAAAATAATAATCATTTAAAAATTAATTAAAAAATAATATAATAATGTTGTGTAGTCTTTAATACTATAGACACAGCCAGTTTTATAAGCAACTAGTTAATAGTGAATAGTGTTCCCTAATCTAAAGTGTTACCTTACTTATCTAGCAGTTTCAAACTGTTAACATGTTATTTCCTCCCTACTCTGTTCACATGGAAGAAGGTTCTTCCGGGTTAAAAATGAGGTTAGCGCATGCGCTGGTTCAAAGGTGAGTGCGCGGGTAAAAAGGAGGCGTTGTTGTAGAGGAACGGAGTTGAACCGTGTTGCATATGTGAGCAATGAGGTGATTAAAGGAATGTCCTAGTTCTGGACATTACTGTGTCGATATCAGAGACAAAGACACTAAAAAAGATCAAACTGAAGAGGAAGTTCTAACAGTGACAGAAAATATGTCTCCAGATGAGAAACGCAAAGTCCTTCTGAAGCTCCATAAACAGTTTGGTCACGCGTTGGCAGACAGGCTACAGAGGCTCATTCACAGTTCAGGAAATAAGGACAAAGAATGTTTTACTGTTCTACGCCAAATAGTATATGACTGTGAAATATGCCAAAAGTACAAGAGGACAAAGCCTGCTGTGGGGTTGCCCATGGCTTCAGAAGATAATGCGACGGTGGCAGTGGATCTACATGAGTTAGAACCAGGTGTATGGTATCTTCACATAATCGACCACTGTACACGTTTCAGCGCCGGAAACATTGTGAAAACAAAGTCATCTGAAATGGTCAACTCCTTCATTCACACTTGGATAAGTGTCCATGGTGCCCCCCAGAAGCTGTACAGTGATAATGGAGGGGAATTCAACAACCAAGAAATCAGAGACAAGGCTGAAAACATTAACATCGAGACAAGAACAACAGCTGGATACAGTCCCTGGAGCAACAGACTACTCGAGAGACATAACCAAACACTCACCGAGATCATCCTGAAGGTCAAGCGAGAAAATGGATGTGACTGGCACACTGCCCTTGACTGGGCCCTCATGGCTAAGAACAGTATGTTGAATGTTCATGGCTACAGTCCATACCAATTAGTGTTTGAACAGAATCCTAACCTTCCTTCTGTAGTAGTTGATAAATTGCCTGCTCTAGAAGGTACCACTGTGAGTGCTAAAGTAGGAGAACCCATTTCTGCTTTACATGCTTCTAGGAAAGCATTTACAGAATCAGAGTCTTCTGAGTGAATAAGAAGGGCACTACGTAGGCAGCTTAGGCCCACAGCTGACGTGTATGTGACAGGAGACAAGGTATATTACAAAAGAGCAGACTGTCCTGAATGGAAGGGGCCAGGGGTAGTTATCACACTGCTCCGGGTGCGTGTTCACGATGTGTGTGCGCACTTTGGATGGGATAAATGCAGAGCACTAATTCCGAGTATGGGTCACCATACTTAGCCACATGTCACGTCACTTTCACTTTATTTGTCAAGATGGAGCTGTTGTATTTGTTAGACATGGTGGGACTCTTGTTAGAGTACATCAATCCAGGCTCTGTAAAACAAACACACAGGATCAGGAATCTCAAGATAAGCAAAA